ATCATGTCCACGTTGGTGCACATTTCCGAAGAGTCGACGTCGACACCGGCCAATGACAAAACTAACACGACGGCGTTCAGCAATTTTGGCGACGCCCTTTACTGGAGCGTGGTCAGTTTGCTGACCATTGGCTACGGTGACATCGTACCTCGTCACTGGATATCGAAACTGATCACCGGGTTATTTTGTCTGACCTTCGTCAGCATTCTGACGGTCACCTCGTCGATTCTTGGCGTTGGTCTCGCGTTCATGGTTCAGGACGAACAGATGAAAAAGAGAATGGGCAAACAGGCACCTCTGGCAGCAAAACTAATTCAAAACTACTGGCGCTATCGACTAATGACCGTCAGCTTCCAGAAGATCTCCTATTATCGTTACGACCTCATGCAAAACCTCTTTGCGTACGAACTGTCTCGCATCAAGCGAAACCCGGTTTCAAATCGCTTGCCGTGGCAGGAAAAGTACTTCACGTACTCGCTGTTCGGCACGCTGAGGAACAACCTGAAACGCAAGGCTAAGCTGAAGGCGTTGGACATGATTTTCCTCAAACCGTCCGAATCAGAGCTGGATAGGCTGCAAAGCCGGGCAGCAAAAGAAGCGAGCGACGACGACCGGGAGTTTCGGGACGCCACCCCTTCAAAGGGTATTCGTTTTCAGATCCCTTTGCAGTACGACTTGGAGAACAGTCCATCAGTTCCGCGTGAGTGTACATTCGACCGACATGGGGGACATTACATTCTGTTGCTGCGGTTCATCTGGTACCTGAAATACCTGGTCGCCAAGAGGCACTTCAAGGAAGCCATGAAGTCGTACGATTTATACGACATTTCCAGACAGCTGAGCGAGAGCGAAAACATGCAGCTGCAGCAGCTGAAAGTTCTTCAGTCGAAACTTGAAAAGGTTCTCTCCAACAGATCGTCGGTTCTTTTCTCTACTGAGCATCTCGAAACAGACATTGCCGGTAAAGTGAAGCTTATCGAGTGTCAAATGAAGCTGTTGAACTCAAAAGTGGAGAAAATGAGTAAGCTAATGATTCAGTGCCTGAGTACTACCAGACAGCTTCTCGTTGAGCGCGAAGGGAACATTTCGTCGGCAAACGGCAATACGAAGAACAACCAATCTTGTAACGATGCGTTCGCCTGTTTCACACACATGTAGAATATTTAAATATTTTTCACGGTCTCTTTGGTTTAAAAATTGTGAGCAAACTTAAATTAATAGCCCTCGTTTCATTCACTTTTGTTTTGTTTTTAACACACCGTTGACACTGTGTGCATATGTTTAATCAACTGTCAGATGAGTCAATGTGAATCGTGGTTATGACGTACGAGTGTTAGATACGATGGCTTTTAGCCTGACAGAGAGTGGGTGGCTCGACCACGCGGGAGTATCATGTTGTCCTTATTAATCCCAGCTCATTGATCTGCTACTCGTCTCTTTAATGATTGCTTTGAAGCACAATTAAAGAAGATTTCTTGCTCAGAGGAGTTTCCGTTTCCTGCTGAAGTGATGGCCTGGAAGTGGTACGGAAAATCTCTCTGGGAGACTTAAATGGTGATTCACCATCAGTCGCGCATGATATCAGTCCAGTTCTTGGCAGAAACGTTGCGAAGTGCTCTATTTTTCTGAATCCATTAAGCCGCATGAAGGATGAGAAAGCTTTGGTATCCAAAATTGACCATTCAACAAATATTCGCCAGAAACATTCCTGAATATTGGAGGAACGTCGATTTTCCTTCACGAAGTGCCCACAACAAGGATAAGTTAAATGAAAGAAAACCGACTGTGTTAAATATGTGGTTTCAACTGGGCATTTCTAGAAGTGAAAGCATATTGCTAACTGACTTGGTTAAACCATTTCGCCCTCATCCATCTAACTCAGCTTCATGTTAAATATTCACCTTCAATCAATCGACAAACGGGGAGAATTTGTCTTGCCATTTAATGTTTTTCAAAATTATATAGACAACATACAATAAAATATAATCATGATATACTGCGGTGGCCACATTTCAATCGCTGATACCGGATTTAAACGCTTAAAATGCACTGTCACTTTTCCTTCTAATCGCCAAGGTAGACCAATTAAGAAAGTCACAGTTTCATGGTACTTAGGTGCTGGTGGTGATTACGATGCAAGACCGATTCTGTGAGTTGTGGGCTGAACAAGAACATCACTACCTTATTTTCCCATTGATAGCGGACACCTTGAACTTCTTTATGTTAGTTAAAATGTACAGATATTGCGCACCTTGTAATATGTGACGCTCGTAAAAATGTACAGATAGATGCAATCTATTTATTGTCTGAAAATGGGCAGTTTTTAGACAAATCAGTAATGGGATAATATGATCGGCCGTAACTGTATTTAAAACAAGCGAGCAGAATAATTAACAAGAGTCACCATGTGTTTCTGGTCTTTGAACATGTGTATTCTGCAAATGTTTAGATTTTAAAATTGAAAGTTACTCCTGAGAGAATAACGATGAAGAAAAAATGCTGTGCTGAGAAAATCTTGTACAGCGATGTTCAAGCTGGAAGCCGCTAATTTCGCGAAAGAAAAAGGGTATCATGAGGCAGCGAGGAAATTGAACGTTGGAAAGTCCAGAATACGAGAATGGAGGAAAGAAGAAGCAGTTCTAAAAGATTTACGCCAGAAGAAACGTGCAATAAGATACAAGAGATGCTTCTGACCAGGGCTCGAAACAACACTTCGCAAGCGGGTTCTCTTAGCGAGATCGAAAGGACATAAGGTGTCAACAACATGAGCGCATGAGTGGTTGCAGAGGAACACAAAATGGAAAATTTTATGGCACACCAGATAGGAAAAGCAAGGACTCTCAGATTTATGAAAGAAACAGTATATGCATTCATTTATCCTCAAGTGTAGCCAGAAACTGGCCGATGGTTGGGAAACGAAAGTTATAGAAGTTTAGGCCTTTCGTCGTAGAAAATTTGTGGTGTGGAGCCTGCTCATTTTGGTAATAAGGATGAAGTTTCAGTTAGCTTTGATCGCCCTGCTTCAAGGACTGTTAATTTCAAAAGATCTAAACAAGTTTCCGTAGCTACAACCGCATATCTTCATCTTCCATGGCCGCTACTTCTTTCGGGTCGCGGAGGCAGACGCGTCAGACAGTGCTTCCAACGTTCCCGATCCTGTGCCAGAGTCT